TAAGCTAGTGACTTCCCCAAGCTGCAACGAAACAAGAATATTATACACATATCAAGAATATTAGCTGGTCTTGGTACTTAAAACATAATTGGTAGCTACTTTACGCAGTGAGGGATGGTAGCAAATTTAGAAATGTATTCTGTAATGTGGAGTGGACGCGATAAAAATTTACTACGGCAAAAATTGTCGGCGAAGCACACTTGTCGATATCTATTTGAAGCGAACGCTGACCGCGTTTATCTGTTCAAAGTTTACTTAGATGGAAGATGACAAAACCTGGTGTCGATTTTCAGGCACATCTATGTCCCAATGCTGGGCAAAGGCCACCGTCTGTACAGAAAGTATTAGGATCCCACTGTGGACTGGCGGAATTTACATATCATTGAATAATTTTGTACTATTACATTTTTACTTCGAAAATATACAGGTTTCATCACGTTGTTTTCACCTCAAACATTACATCTATGCTCGAGACTGTTAGAAGGAGACTATCCATGTGAGCTTTGATAACTGTTTTAAAAATCAGTTTTAAAGGAAACTTATGTCGAGGCTATTTTTTCAATAATATTAAAGGAAAATTTTGGTAGCGTCAACGCGGTTTAAGTAACTCCCTACTACTCGCTTCAGGAGATGCGGTGTAATAACAAAACTTCAGCTTCCCTAGTGTACTCGAAAAAAACACGTTATGTTGTAAATTTAAAATGAGAACAGGAAATGATAACCCGCGGGTCGGCGTCACCACCCCCGAGTTAGGCGCGAACGGGCACACTTACGCAGTTTTGTGCATGAGCACATGCTTCGTTACGCACACACGCGTAAATGTCTTCTACTTCATTAGCACAATGGCTCATTACTATATTTAACGGAATCGAGATGTAGGTATACGTTTTTCCCGCCGTGTGCAATAACGCTGGATTGTCTTTAATATACTTTGTATTTTTGAAATAAGTCTAAGTCATATAACACTCCATACTCCTGTACATGCTTCTAGCCTTTGTTTATCCAATTACGCTTTGTATTCCAAAACGCCTTTGCAAGGACAACAGTTGGAACACGGGGAAAAGGAGAAGAGTACCTTTTAACAACAATTACTTAATAACATTAACTATTCTTTAAATATATTCAAACGAATTACTTATTACTTGAAAGTTGAAGGAACACAGCTCAAGTGAAATACATAATAACCGTAGATCGGTTATTTCGAGGGGATTTCGAGTATTCGGGACGACTTTTTGTGCGAGCGTGTCCTGGATTTATTTATTTTTTGCCCGGGGTGGCAATCTGGAAATTTTAGAATAATCTCCTCTGAAGAGGCTGGTGCCACATGTGCAACGGGCGCCTCGGTGATAAACATTTTATTGGAATGTTCGAGGCAAAAACTGCGTACCAAATGTTGGGCCCAATTTAGGGGTTTCACGTAAAGGAAGTTGTTATTTAAATATTAAGGTGATTCCGTCTTTGTGACTCATTCAGTACCAACTAAGTTTACTTAACTGACGCGAGACAAATACGTTAATAGAGTTTAATGTATAATCTATATAGTATTAATTTGATTTGGTACCATATAAAACTTAGATGTCTCAAGTTAACACTCTGCTTGGCTTATCACATATTCATCTAATAAAGATACCACTTAATTGATAAAATTCTACCGTGTTCCATTAATTTTTTATGATTGGCAATCATATAAACAACAAATTTTATATTATATTATACGCATTCTTATAGATAATGATTGCGTGTATCTACTCCACAACAATGGTCGCGTGGAGATTGGAACAATGACATAAACAATGACGTCCTTGATACTACATTGAGGGTGCTATTTATAACGGAGCAGATGGTCCGCGTGTCCCGTGCGGGGGCTATTTAAAGCCCTCCCCTCCCTCTATGGACCCAGCGAGGCCCCGACAGCGAACCTCTGGAGTGTTCCTCTCTAAGTGATGTAACAACAAACTTCATCGAAGATCAAATGCGTTTTTATAACTGTTAACGCTTTATAGCGCTTTCAATAGCATTGCTACTCAATACTTGCGTAAACTTTGAACACATCCTTATTCGTTGTTTTCTAAACTAAACCGTTTTACGTCATTTCAGTTACACATTTCTCGGTGACTATACGTACAGGTTCATTAGGTTTTTGATGGAAAAATAATTCTGCAATGTCTTATGTTGTTACTCTATGGGTATCTTATGTTGTTATTTTCTCTATACATCATAATTAAATTTGTTATTTCTGAAAGAAGCATACATATATTTTTTGCTCAAATAATACTCAAATAGCCTAAAGTATTATTGAGGGGTTTTAAACAATAGATTACCTTGTAACTCTGTATGTAGTAATAACAATGTCAAATGAATTATTACCCAAAGTTAATGAATATCTAAATCACTTTGACAACATACAGATTAAAAATCAACAACAATTTGTCAAATTAGTCTTGATTCATTCCTCTGAAAGGAACACTGGCCGAAACGAAAAAGAAATAAATGGAAATGTAAACAGATTATAAAAATTAATATTGTCTCAATTAGCGGTCTACGAATCCAATCCGAGCGTTATAAATAGAGTTGCATAGTGCGCCGTTGCAGGAGTGACGGGCCGACGGGCCACCCGACACGATAATGCGCGCTGAGCTGATACATATGGCAAACATATCAAAATTAGAATGGCCATTTTGAAATTTCAACCAATCCGTCCCGCGCGGCTTGTAGTTTTATTGGAGGTTATTAAAATTTCCCAAAAAAAAAATATTTGAAACTTTATGGTTAAAGAAACACATTTTGGAAGTCGAATGTAAACAATAATCTATCCACTGACTGTATCCTGCAGAAATCGGAGGTTTCAACCCTTCTGATAGACTCTTCTCGGAACGGATTTGTATAAAAATTTTAACTTTACTAGGATTAACTCAAAGGAATTGATCTAAAATTCTTCTTAGTCGTTTTTACAATCGTCTATTCACTTGTCTTTAAAAAAGAAATATTTTTAGGTACTAGTTTCTGTTACTGGGTATTTACTGATCATTATCTTATCATGCATAGAATTATTACAAGGTGATAAATTGCGTTTTTTTTTTGGTCAAATGTAATTATAATTGAATAAAAGACCGTTGAATTGGGCATTATAACATGTCCACAATGTATTGGCTTCGGCGTCGGGGGTCGTGGGATCGATTCCCACACGGGACAACTATTTGAGCGACCCACAGATTAGTTGTTTTGTATCTGGGTGTTTGTCCTCGTGCAATTTATGTTTGTATAACGTCCTTACAACACAGGATAATGTTATGCTAAAGTGAGGGCAACGTTTTTTAAAAACAACAAAAAAAAGAAAGATAATTATAATAACACGAACACATTTATTGTGTTTTATGAGTAATAATGCACATAGTCAATTCCTTGGTAAATACATAGATTAGGTTGCTTAAAACGGTGCGTTGAGGTAAGCAAACATGATTTTACGTCGAAGGAAAATAAGATATTTGCTCATGTGTGGGTGCGGTGTGACTCCACCAGCGTTAAGTACATAATAAAATTAATTTGTATTTTATATTTGTTATTTTATTCAAATACTCTATCCGTGTCAACTGTCATTGCTGTAATGTTAGAAATTAATATGGCAAATATTACAAATTACTTCATGTTGTTCCGCAATGGACACTTATAATCCCTAGTACGGTAAAGGTTTTTAAGAGCCCTGCTACAGGTTAACGAAAGTCAATTGGAGCAATTTTCACATCCCTACATGCACCTCTGGGAGACAAGCGTAAGTATGTGTGTGGTACACGGCGATAAACATTGCAAATCGACCTTTGGAAAGAGCTCTCTATCACACAGGATTTCAAAACATGGGCAGTGGTCTGTGATAGAGATAACGCTATACGAAATCGAAGTTAGCTCATTGTCTCTTTCCAAAAGTCGATGTGCAATATTAAACGCAGAATTCTATATGTAACTAGATACGATCTTGATTAGATACATAGATTAGATAGTACATCGTGTGGGATTCACTGTTCCGCCATTATCCTAGCGTAGTGCGTACCAGTCTTTATAATATAATGTGTTGTTTACTGTGTAAAACAATGGCAAATTTTTTTACCAAAAATATTTTTTTTTTTTAAATTAGGTTTATTTTTACCTCTGAAAAGGCTCCTAAAAATTCGTTATAATTAATATAATAACGAATCATCATCTGGACAAAATATTTTTTGTGATATAATCCCAATTGGTCATCAGGTTCGGGATGAAGAATGACAATCTTAACCATTAGTGATTGCAGGGGGTAGTTGCTATTCCCATGCATCGAGGGCATCGGCGGAAGATAAGTGTTGAGAATGGGCGTGTTTGTTTATGTTTCATTAATGTGTTCAAAATGTTCGAAACGCAGAGTAATCTTCATACGATGTTGTTGGTAAGAGTTTTTGAAACTGTTTGACAATTTTACACGATGCTTATCACGTATTTTAGTAGGAAGGGTAGCAGTTGCTGCTGTGGCATGGATAAGGAGGCTCCGTAGTACTTATTTTCGAAATATTACGTATTTTATTTTCGCGTTTCGCTTGTTGAAGGAACCCACTTTTTAAAGGTTGGCAAAGCATCCACAACCCGCTGATATGGCCATGAGTGGTGAAATTCATCAGGAACACATTCTGCTCGCGTGAAAATTTTTTTACATAAAAAATGAGGCTGTATATCTGAGTACGTCGTATTACGCTACCCACTTTTGGACGACTCCTGTTTCTCTAATAATATTATAGTTAACGCTAACTTTACTATCCATAATATTCACAAGGCTTGACTTTGATTTACAGATTTGCACTATGGAAACTTATAATAAAATCCTCTTTAAAAATGAACGTAGACAATAACTAATATTTAATATACATAAATCCTCATTTCATCTCGTCCGGAGGCAGACCATAGACAACATTCTGCCGCACGATTGGGCATCGTGCGGCGGTCGCTTAATTATTGTGCGTATTAAAAATAAATTACTAGAACGGCGTGGGCAGATAACGCGACGGCTGCCGCTTCGGTATCGCGGAGTCGCGGAGTGGAAATAACGACCCCCGTGCACCGGCACCGAAATAGTCCGTCGGCTGGGGTGCGTCAGCGAAACGATAAAGAGCGACGCGGCGCACCGTGGCCGCTGTTGCCACAGATAAAATAGCACCCGCCGACCGCGAAATACCATAGACAACACTCTGATAGAGCTGTGACGTGACAGCGCTTGGTGCATTTCGTCGGGGAAGGCATAAAGGTCTGTACAAGTTTTTTTTTTGTTTGATAGCAAGTAAGTTGATGTGAGTGATAAGCGCCACCCATGGACATTTGCGATAACCATAGGGTTGCAGATGCGATGCCAATTTTAATAAAGTGGGCCTTCCTATCCCGCTCATCAGGCGAAACGTACATACATACTTCATTACAGATCCCGCCAAAATTTAGAAGAAACATATAATTATTTAAAAACATTGTATTCAAGGCATTACGTACTTATTAGTTGCCCACATAGCACTTTGGAGTCAATAAGGAGACGTGTACTCTATTTAGCGATAATAGTAACATTAAAATTCATAATAAACGAGAAGGTAAAACGAGTCAAAACAAATCTTAATTAGGATCGGAAGTTTCGAATGCTTTTTAACGTTTCACTAATTTGTTTCTACGGTCAATAATTTGTTTTATGCGTGTATGTTTATGTAAGTATAGGCAGGTAGAGTCGATTAGACCATAACGGATTTGTTTACGCCATTTCTATTCTTATCAGAAAAGTTGAACAAGTAATGGCATGTAAAAATGTAACTGACCGTTCAGTTACTCATAAGTGCATAGCGTTTGCACTTGGAACAAGCAGCGATAAATATTAGCGACCAAAATTGTATTAACCAAACTGCTAGTTCCAATTCGGCACAGTTTCAAAGTAATCGGAGATTTACATAATTGGACTTATCGCTTTACAAAAGTACACGCATGAAGCTTTAGCTATTTATTGTTAAAAGCAGTATTCTTAATGCGAGTTAAATATATATAAAAATTACTTTAAGAAGTCGAATCAAATCATTATCGGAAAACGCAACACCTTACAATGTCGCAAGTCACAACAGATGAGACATTAGAATCACCGAAATTTACGGAGGAATTCCTGTAGTAGCATCGGACGAATATCAGCGATATCCTAGCTCAAGTGTATAAAACATTCCACCCCACGATAAACCTATTGAAAGCGACCCAACTGATAACATGTCTAGACGAAATAAATATCCGAAACACTCGAATGCCACCTCGATGGCTCACTTGGCTAATCGTTTCGGTCGTCGGGGCGCGGTGGAAAAAAAACGTTCACTTTTTCTGACAAAAGCGCCCATAACCTACCGACACTTTAAAAGGTTGAAGGCGAATCTAATAGGACACGTGCATTTCAAGTATTTAAACGAGCATGCCCCGAGATTACGGACCTCGGGCCTGGTAATGCCCCGTCACCTGTTTTATGGGCATCTCGTTGTGAGCCGATAACGCCTCCCCGGGGCTGTTACGATAGTGGCACCTAAATTTGGCTACCGCATACAACGCAATGGAGAGTGTTATAACATTAACAGATTGGTATTTTCTTTAAGAAAGAAGGCAGCAAAAGTCTATGCGGTTCACATGATGTGAAGAGATAACCCGTACTCAGGGACATACAAACACCCGTGGGATTACAGTTGAGTTGCGATCATGTTAAGGGTGGACTCCATTTACCTCACACAAACGGAGAAATGATCCAAAGTCCATAATAATCTCTTACTACGTCTTTTGCGAAATGGTTTCATGGACCTGATGTTAAGTGACTAACGCCACTCATTCACGACTATCATAAAATGGTTTGCAATTGACAACTTTGTACAGATGGGTGACTAGTTACTATACAAGGCAAAACACAAAAATATGTATTATACTTCCTCTGAGGTTCGGTAGTGTATTGGGCTGGTTTTTAAAAGAAGTACATATAAGTATAGTATCAAGTCCATAGTAAAATACAAGTATTTATAGCTATGCCAAATTTTTTTCGCCAAATAACCAAGGAAAATAAAGCGTGTTCTCAATATCGATATGAGGCCGTAATCACATCACATCAAATTCTCACTGCTCCTCTCTCGTTCGCAAAACAGGAAAATTATCGGGCCGCGACACGGCTCATATCGATAACCTTGCTAACTCGACAGTATTACATGTTCCCAATAAATCCCTTATTCGATCGCTCGCGGGTGACGCGAGCATAGTTCGTAACGTTCCAATTATTCACGACGGGACAAATGGCGGGCGTCGGGCGCGCGCGGCGAAAACATGGCCGCCCCCTAGCGAGCGGCGCGGCTGACAAACGCGCGGACGACGTGCGCGCGCCGCGGCTACGTGACAGGGCCGAATCATGACAGCGTTTCGGATTTATTGCGAATAAATTGCTATCACGCCACGGATTGTACCGCTTTGACTGTGTAAAAGAATCATTGCCGATGTTATTTGCGATATCACTTTATTGCTTGCCGCTAGGAAAAGTAAAAGAAGCAAACGTCAGTCAGCCTAAGTTTTTGCCCGGTTTATGACAGCAAGACGCACGGCTTGTCTCTTGTCTGATTAATCTTATAATCGAAGATGATTATTTCTCCCGTAATATTGTCCCGTAAAAATGAGCCGCGATTACCTCACTCACCAGACGAAATGAGAAAGTATATTACTTCCATTTTACGCTGATCTTCTGTGAGGCCAAGGTACGTCCCTGGACCAGCTTGCAAGAGCAAAATCTGCTGCGTACCACAAGAGTAAAATTACGAATAATAAAAATATAGGTAATAATATAAATATATTTACCTACCTATATATCAACCTTTACTATAGTACCTATAATTAACTGCGTGTATACGACTAGTAAAATTAATAACTGTTTTCTTATACCAATAAATTATGTCAGAAGTATATATTCTCATATAGAAAGACATTGACAAAAAATATGAAGTTTTTGGAAGGAAATTAGTGCGTCAGCATAAAAATACTTTAGATTACCTACTACATTAACGAAATACGCCATATCCGTGAAAACACAAGAAACCATTTTAAACATTACACGATATTCGTCCCTAACGAAAGTAGATAGAGACATTGCCAGCATTAAATATTCAACAAAGATTCCCTTCGAAAGGCACTTACAGAGCATTATTCTAATATAAAGATATTAAAATGACCTCCATGTCCGCAATCGGACAATGTAACAACAACATAATGACGGCTAATAAATGGACGGCACAACAATAATTCCCTGCGATGATTTAGGGCCGGGGAAATGGGGAGAGTAGCGTTTACGAACAATCGTGTCCGCCACAGCCTGGAATGGTTACTGCCAATTTAATTTATATCATTTTTGCAGCGAGTAAGGCGGAATGTTGCCCTCCTTTGTTACTACTAAGACATGAATAGTGAGTAGTCGCGGTAGGACGTCGTAATGTAGGCGATGAACGATTTCAAAACCGGCCAAGCGCGAGTCGGACTCGCGCACAAAACAAAGGGTTCTTTACCATTATCTATAAAAACGACAAGAAAATCATATGTGTTTTAGGGGACCCACCCCTTAAATATTATTTTATTTCTTGTTAAAGTGATAACAAAAATACATCATCTGTGAAAATTTCAACTATAAACTAACACGGTTCATGAGATACAGCCTGGTAACAGTCGGACAGACAGACAGACAGTGCAGTCTTAGTAATAGGGTCCCGTTTTACCCTTTGGGTACGGAACTCTAAAAAGGTCTGTCGGTGATAGGGACATTAAACAAAAATGGTGGGTCTCAAACAAAATGTAGGTATTGCATTCGCTTCGATCAGCTGACTCCGAAATCTTTAGTCTTTCCTCCATTCATGCGACTACTCTAGAATATTTAATGAACTGATCTTGTATTCTGTAATTATTGTAGTCTTAGCTTCGAAAACATTGCCCCTTACTGTAGGATAGCATCAACCTGTTTTTTGTAAGGACCTTTTGCATACATAAATTTCACGTGGATAAACATCCAATTCCGAAACAATTACCTGTGGGTCGCACAAAGTTGTCTCGTGTGAGAATCGAACGCGCGACACCCAGTGCCGAAGCAAATACTATCTTTACATGTATATAATATCTTTACATGTCAGTTGTAATAATTCTATTTATTAATAATCTTAACTCTTTGTTGACAATACTTTAAATACAGATTCGTAGAGATTTCACAAACTATCTAAGAATTTTTTATTAATGAGTTACAGTATTTTATTTTGAAATAATAACAATTGACAATATTTTCCCGCCGTAACTCATACAAATGTCGGTTCGGTATTGCCATAATAGAGTGCGAGAAAATAGCACAACAATTATAGAGTCGGGAGCGAATCGATTCGAACCTCAGTGACCGATCAAACAAGCCGCGAGTGGTCCGTAAAATCGTGAGATTATTGCAAAGCTATATCGCTATGTTATGCTATTTGCAATTGTGGAACAACCTGTATACCATATGACTCAGCGGCTAACTCGTGAGCTGTATGTTTTTACACAGACATTACCCGTGATGTATGCAGACTTCCTAGCATTCTTATGGTGTATAGTTGGTTCTACAGCATTTTTTTTGTGCATGGTAACTAACATAATACAAACTTAACCTCTCTTTAAATACTTGTATAATACTGTTAAATATTAAATAAACCTTCACACAAACGTAAACCACAATCAGAAACGCATAATATGCCCACATGTCAGTGAATTTTATTGGTTTACGTTTTATTGCTTGATTGGCATTCCGTGTGACTTTTTTCCTCTCGCATGAAAGACACGTTCAACGTACTCAAGGTGCGTTCAAATCCGAAACAAAAACCGCAATAAACTATTGATTGCCGCGCGCCGAACAAAGTAACATTGCAAATCAAACAAACGGAGGGATCAAGGCGATACTTTAATTGGACGATATTCGCACCTCCACAAAGTTGCGTCGGAGCGTTTCGCGCGTTACTTTACGGCGGGGCATTGGGCGTGCGCGGCTCCATTGTGTGCGCGCGGTTCCATTGTGCGGTGCGGCACGTCAACGCGTGCCGGACGAAGGCGCCGAGTTCGTGACCCGCGCCGTATGGCGCAGTGAAAGGTATCGAGCGCGGAGCCCGTCGAAAACGAGCAAACGTAACGAACTCCTCAAATTAACAATATTCGCAAAATTCCATATAGTGCACAATAGACCAGGTTCCGAATGGACGTAGCTCGCTTTGTAGCCATTGTGCGAGAATTTACGAAATTACCCGCGTACAATTCGCCCTCACATCTGTCAGTTCGTGCGATAATCGCTTCGCACAACGATGTGCTCAATTCGAGCGGCCATATTGTTTTGTAGCGCATCAGATAATGGCAGTCGCGGTGTAATAAAGACATCCTTGGATCAAAGAATTAACAGTCAAAAAGGACCATTTAATCTGTTAGTTTTTTAAGAGTTTTATAATGCTTAATAAAAAGAATACAAGAATAGATTACTCGATGGCGCAGTTGCTAAGCCCAATGGCTTCGGCACCCGGAGATGTGGGTTCCAATCCCACACGAAACAAGTATTCTAGGGACCCACAGATAATTGTTCCGGATAGGCAGGCGGCGGGACGTAAAAACCTAGACAAAACCACTTACAACACGATTCACATGTTGTTTCGACCCCACCTAGGTGGGATAGGGGCAGGTGGACGTTGATGATAATGCTTAATAAAAACGGGTTATTATTTAAGGATATTAGGTTATAATAAGCTTTAATAAATGATAGTACATACGATGGAAAGCGGATTATTATGAAACATTATTAATTTAATATGACACTGGAATTGCATCCTTAGCCTTATCCAATCTTATATTTCACTAGTTGCTAACCGACCCAACGACGTGTCGCTACGGCATAAGAAATTATTGAATAAATATCATTTAAGATTTGTAAGATTTATCTTCTTACTTCTTGTCAAATGTAAAATTTTGGATATGCAAACAATATAGTGGCGAAGATGTGATGAATAAACAACTATTTATATATTACACGACGGAGCTCAATGTATAATAATTTTTAATTAATAATTAACACCGGCCATTTGAAATATTACAAATTCGATTCGAATCACTCATCTGAAATGAAAATTAAATATGATTCTTCCTTTAATTATCATTATCTAATAAAGTACAATCTGTTGGTCGAGTAGTTTGTAAAAAAAAACTTAAAAATTGAATTCACTTAATTTCAGATTAAAAAAAGAAATGGCGATTAAAGAAAAACACGAAATACAATGATTGTTCCAATTGAACGCGATCAATTGTGGTAAGGCAGTTCAAAATGAAACGTTTACAGACAAACGGGTCTTACATCCACCGAAGGGTATATTAATGGTAATATTCTTGATCAATTAGTGTCCTCTGGGAGCACAAATTGATGAACAACAATTATCCACAAAACTTCGAGCGAGATAAAGGCGGTTAATTGGCGAATTGAACTCAATATCTGGGAATAAGTATTATTGCAGAAGGCTCTACGGTGAACGGAGTATACGACTGTAGACTCTATTGCGATACTGGAAGTCTAAAATTCACACCCTTGTTGCATCACTATGATTATGTTACACTGAGTACAATGCACTTGTGTTATAACGTAATGCTTATTCTTCCAGTAATCATATCTCGTTACGTGGTTTTGCGACGCATTCGTACTATTACAAATAGTACAACGCCACATCATTTTGCATTATTTGTAGTTCAACAATGAATTTACTTCGGAATGTATATATTTTTGGTATGGATTTACGCCATTTTTACCTAAGAATTTCAGTAATTGGACTTTACTGAAAACATTAATGGAGTAAATTATTTTTATGTCGTTAAGTGATAATCACCGCCCATGGACATTTGCAACACCCGTAGGGTTGCAGATGCGTTGCCAATCCCTTCCAGTTCACGCGTTTCTGTAAGTTCGTGGCAATTACCCGGACCGACCTGCCCATTCGTGCAAGTCGAAACTTTTGCGTAGCCCTACCAACAGTGGCCCTACGACGGTAAATTGAACTTAAAGTAGAAATATGTTCCGATAAAGAGATTATTACAATTGAAAGTTATTCAAGACTTCAATTAAAATTTTTAATAATCCATATTAAAATTATTAATGCGAAACTATATCTGTCTGTCTGTCTCGCTTTAACGCCAAAACTACTGAACCGATTTAAATGAAATTTGGTACACAGATAGTCTAGAGCCCGAGAGAGGACATAGGCATTTTTTAATTAGAAAAAGTTTTATAAAGGGTTCTTAAAAGGGATACATATTTATCTATGGGCTTAAACGCGAACGAAGCCGCGGGCGAAAAGCTAGTTTGTACATAACAATGTAAACACATTTTAAAGTTATTTTTATCATATCTGGGCAAAGGTCTCCTTTGCAAAGAAGGCCTACCACACGATATCAGTGCGGATTGGTGGATTTTCCAATCTTCGAAATACAAAATTTATAGTAGTTAAATAAAAAATGTGTGAATTAATGTAATAAATAGTCTTCGTGTATAGTGAGCCTTATGCAGTGAAGACTAAAAGTACGTCCGCGCGCTAGATTCATCGCTAAGTAACAAAGCAAAGAGACATGATCGTAGGCATGGGTTTATTTTATTCGCTATTTTAACAAATAAGTTAACAGCTTGTTAGCTGCTTAACGGATGTTGCCTTGTTCCGAAATCGTGGATCTTGGATGGTGTTGGCACCATTTTGCTTTCGTGAGATCTACGAATGATTGGTCATTCTATAGGAATGTGAGATATTTCTTTTTTTAATATGTAACAAATTAACTTTACGAACAATAACATACACATAGTTGTTTTGATGTGTTGTGTTGTGTTGAGAACAAATTTTGCGAAATTCGCTAACGCATAGGGTAAATCCGAATATTACAAAACTGAACAAAATCTACTACTTAGTAATGGTACTCGTGTAACGTGTGATTTCATCACTTTGTCTAAATTGTCGTTTTTCTAAAGACTAGGCTGCATGTCATATGAACCTTTGCCTGTTCGAAAGGACGAATGTAAAAGTTAACTTCATTTGGTCGTACTTGTCATTTGAGATTGCCGCCGGATCGAATTGACATTGGATAAATTAGTTTTTGTGGATCCATTATCTTCGACTGGTAAGTAGTTGTTTGGTTTTGTTCATGCCAGTGGTTGTTTTGTTTACGTATTTCGTTTTCTTATCGATTCGCTTTTTTTACAGTGCATAGCTAGAGGTTGAAATCAGAACACGTTCCTGGTCGTATTATTTGTGATTGCTGTCTGGGAGGCTCTGTGCTGGATTTGTTATCCCTCGTGGTAAGATCCTCTGTTATTTTCACTGGTTTCCTACTAAAATTGTAAAAGACTTGCATTGAGAATGTATTTAGAAATTCACATGAAGGTAGGTTGAGAATTTATTGTCTCGTGTTTCTAAGTATGGTTTTTCAAATATCACAGGTGGATGCTGAAGGCATAGGTGGCTGGCAAGCTGGTCTGAGCTGCTGCTCAATTAAATATTGTTTTTTTACCTCCAGTTGGTAAGTGTTTCACATCTTATAATTGTAGGTGGATTGAAATCCCTGCCTTTGTTAGTTCTACAATGTAGTGTTTGTTGGCAGGAGGTCTCCTATATACCCCCAACAGTGTGGCTGTACACACTACACTTGGCCTGACTTTCTCTACTGGTTCTGAGCTCAACGCTGACCTGTGCACACAGGGCAGATGTCTCTGCGGTGACATGGATTTTAAATAACTACCTGATTGGACTTAGTTTTAAATTGAATTGCATAAGTTTTACCATCTCAAATTAATTTAATTATTCAACCTTTTATGGTCGCACAAAGTAATGTGTAGGTCCTATGTACTCACGACTCCCTGAGATACTTAATTGTGATTATTACAACAGTCTGTTCCTAACAGACAAGGCGCCCAACTTATTGTTATTATTATATTACAAAATATATTGTATCTGAGCTAGTCCAGGGATTGTAACTTTAAATTGAAGGGATAAATACAAATTCTTAACCACTAATAAATCTTTTATTAAATCTCCCATCATATATACCATCCTAATAAAAAACGTTACACTCGTAGAGATAGTAACCATGCTAAGTATACTAATCTGTTTGTATAATTATGTAAGGCAAAGCAATATTTTGTTGCGGGGGCTTCAGACACACGGCTCTTATTTAAATGGGATTTATTTATTACTATCTAAATAGAAATTAAAAGGAAAACTTGACGTCTTAGATTTAGCCGCCACGAGCTTACGAACTTTATGTCGGCAATAATCTTCCGTACCACACTCATTCAACCGTTACCATATGAAACCCCTTCACCGAACCAATGAAATATGGAACAAAGGGAAATAGGGCCGTGGCGGACAGAATGAGCGAATAAAGAGCGCATTGGGCACAGCTTGTCGCCATGTAAAAGTGGATTTGAATAATTTATAAAAGGGGATGGCGCGAAGGGATTGCTTTCGATTCGGCGATTATGTTATTACATTGTAAATATTTACGCCACTCTACAAAACGACTGATGAATGTCGCCAACTTTTTAACTTGCTAACTTTATTGTCGAGTAAACTTTTAGTGTTCGGTAGAAATGGTTTCATTAAACTGGGCATTGCTTGTTTAGATATTATGTACCGTACGGGATTATCAATTTATTTAACAAACGAATTTCATTTTAAATGTGAAAAAAGGATATATAGTTTAGCATCAGTAGCCTGATTATACGTGCATGGATTTAAAAGACGGAGAGTATCAGAACTTCAGATTGACCATATCAAAGATAATTAATATATCCTATTATAAAATACCGTTGAATATAGTATCAGCATATGCCTTACTGGGCTGTGTTGACCCAGTTCAGTAAACCAACCCCATACGTAATAATACGAGACCAAATAAAACGGGAAACGAAATCCGTAACCAGGACATGATTTACTAAATTATCATCTAATTTACAATTGAGCTTAACGTCCGTTTGAAAAGCTCCATGCTCTATTGTTCTATACTTTCTAATTCAAAAACTTGATATAACCACTGAAATAAAAAATACATTTAACATTGCAGTTACAGCGATGAAGAGGACATATGGTGGACTTATGTGTCCTATGGGCTATGTGTGTTCCATGGACTATGCGTGTTCTACGGACTTACCTGACGGACCTGCTTGTACTGCTCCTCGAAGCTCCAGCCGGCGGCGCTGCCTTCCGATGAGGATGAGGACGCAGAGCCGGCGGGCTGCGCCGGAGGAGGGGGTGCGGGAGCGAGGAAGGCGGGGGGCGCGTAGGGGAAGCCCCCCGTCGCCCCCGCCCCTGCCAACGCGAACACACTGCTAGGCGCCGAGAGGGGCGCCCCCTGAGCCAGCGACGCCAGAGACGACAGGTGCGGGTGGAGCGAAGTCTTCAATGACTCAAAGTCGTCACGGACCTAGGAACAGTATAGTGCGGTTAAAAACTTACTATGGTTACATACATTACATATATACAGGGAGGTTTTTCTAAGTGTATCCAATTTTTTTAATTAAATTCTAGACATAAATAATGTTTTATAAAAATGATAAATATTTAAAATCACTCGTAATTAATTAAATACATTCATTTGAACTTATTTCAAAATGTGCGTGATTTATGGGCAACTCATTTATTTTACACGCGATCATTCATAACTAACACGCACACAAGTACATTTCAAAAGTATACGACCCATTTATGAATGACTACCGCATTGTTTTAGGGAATAAAAGCCTGAAACTGTGTGAATTTGGGCACCTTTAGAAAGGCCACCCTGTATTTAATAAATTACGAGAAAGTAGTTCAAGTGATCAACTTTTCAGCTGTCATATCGTAGTATCTGTATGGCTTTGATCCTCACACCGTGTGCTTCATATGTAGTTGATTCCTAGGCACCGGGGCGTCGCGGCCCACGCCCTCGTCGGAGCTATCGCACGACTGCTCCCCTGACGACTCGCCCTCCGATCTTGCCGACTGCGAAAGACGCTTATAATAGAAACGGCGTTCATTTTTGAAGTGCATCTATTGCGCCGAGTCTTCACACGGCGTAATGCTTCGCCACGCCAACTGTATATGAAGCATGTGGTGACGAGCGAGTAGGAGCGGAACCCTTTGTGCGCGAGTCTCGCTCGCACTTGGCCGGTTTTTATGAATTTATTATTCAAAATTATTTTGTATTGGCAAGTCAGATAGGTCTTGCTATTTTTATTATTCGTAACGTACCTAGTTCATTTAAACATTGTAGTGCAATTTTAAGTATTCATTTCTACCGACAGTCCATGACTGCTTATAATTTTTACTTAATTTCATGTTCTCTAAACTTCATGTTCAGATTAAATTTCCTTATTAAGATTTTAATAATTTGAATGCATTTTACATTCACGTTACATTCACGTAGACGTAAATAAGCGGATGCGCGAGTGAAAAAAAATGCATTTACCAACGTATTTACCAATTGAGTATAATCCCAACAGTCTCAGTTTTTGATTTTATTTGGATATCTTTATATTTGTTATCTGCAAAGAGTCAACTATAAAATAATTCCGTGCATTTAAACTGCACAACAATAAAGTAATTTAATCGCACGTAATGACAGTGTTTCAAAGGCTTTATTTTAAACGTTTCACTCTTTATTTTTATTCTGTAAACTGTATCCTAAAGGCAGGTGCTCGTGGAAAGCATCCAGTGAGACCTGGAACCCACAATTAAATATAAATGTCGCGAGGCGTCAGGAACGTTCATAAAAACTTTTAATAATGGCGGCGTCGTTGAACGCCTTTTATTCTTGACGATTATACGCAATTCAGCAACAATTATATTCAGTAATGGTTTGATACAGAATTTCTAAGGCTTTACTGGAATTTTAAAGATACCTGAAATTTTTCTTCGTTTCCAGATAATACAAAATTTTATATGATGATATTTAACAATTCTTAATACCTTAAAGTTTAGTTTACATGTCACTGATTAAATCCGATTTTTTTTTTAAGTTTATTAGTCTGCTTAACTGAATACAGTCTAGCATGATAACAAAAGAAATATACACAGAAAACAAAAATGATTGCATTCTATACATAGCAAACACAGCAAACACAATGAAGCTTTAGGTACAAAGGTTTATCTACTAACTACTATTAAATAAGTAAAAACTATTAATTTTTTTGTATATAAAACTAAATAACAGAATACCGTAGTTCGTCTTCATCAATCTGTTTTTCATAGTCGATTATAAGAAAACGTGTATACTTTACATGTGCATCTGAAAAACTATATAATTGTATTTCAGGTTTATTTATTTAGTAATCTTTAGAACTCACCGTTTAATGTCAAAACAAAATAAATTATACATACACGTAACAATTTATGCACATAAGCAAGTGTCGAGGTTAATTTTAGACTGTGTAATGTTATTTTCTTTCACATCAAAACGAAGACAATTTAGAAGATTCTCGTCGCCCTAATTAAATAGTTGTACAAACGATTCCGCGATATTGCGAATAAATTTATTATTCGCAATATAGATTTAAGAGCACGTCTTAAGCACCTCGTGGCGAGTTCTGCGTTGCTTAAGCAAACGCATCGCCTGAAGGTCTAAAACTGTTCAATTACTACATTATTCGCGTGCAGTGGGTGCGGCTTTATAAGCCCTTTATTACGCTAAGTACGTCGCCGGCAGATGGCGGTGTACCCGCAGAGTGCCCGAAGGCCTTATTACCGCTGAAAATGTCGTTCCCGTCGAGACGTTAAGTATGTCGCATACGTAACTGACAAAGCCGGTCCTTTTTTTTAAATAATAAAGTGAGATGACGAAAGGACGAATGAATGGGAGTCACATGGACTTGCTTAATAACGCAACAATATAGCATCCTGATTTCGGTCGGTTACGGACTCCTCTCAGATTTCGAATACGACGCCACTTACATCGCATGTTGGCCCTTTGTGTGTGTGAATGTGAATGCGAAAAGAATTACTTACCAAACCTCTTAAAGAAACAGTCTATACAGCGTGTCGTTACCATCGCGACAATAAATGAACACACGTGTAACGCTACTTGCCAATAATCATAAAAAAATATTAACATTAAACAAAATCCATAATTAAAAAAATATACTTTTCAAACAAACTAATTAAGTAAAAAAGAAACAAAATTTGTAACATCCTATACAACTCGCGCCACAGCGTCGCATTACAAGCCTCTCCTTCTAACAGTATGTTTTGTCTCTTTTAAATTCATTCAACCCATTCATATGCTTTGCGACCTTTACAAATGAACTTTACGTTACGCTTTTATAGGTAAGGGTGTTCTTAAATTCTTTGTTTTGCAAAATTTTATAATTCTGTAAATATTGATGTTTAAAGAATTTAAATGTTTAATACAACTTTAAAAAGTTATCCCCTATATGTGTGTTCATTTATTGTCGCGATGGTAACGACACGCTGTATATGTCCCACTGCTGCAAAGGCCTCATCTGTACAGAGGGTATAAGGACATAGTCTAAAAAGCAAACCTCTTACCAATGAGAAATGAGATTGGTTACACTTCCTTAGTAGTAGTGTTATAATTGTTCCCAGAGCTGGGCAAAAACCTATGCATAGCGACCTTACTGCCGGGCCAATCGGTTTCACGTGTGTTGTTATTGAACTATTTCGATGAGATGCAGTTTTTTTGTGACGATTTTGCTATAGATTGCAGTTAACAATTTAATGAATAAAACCAGTATTTGAACTGATTTATCGATTGTCCAAAATAAAAAGCGAACGGCTGGCTTCTGTGTTCATGTTTAACGCAGATTCGGGGGCTAAAAATCGATCTAGCTAGGTTTCACTTTTAAAAAATGCCCGTTTATCCTTGTTTTCAGGGTTGAAAAATGTCATTCGAATATGACGGTAAATTTCGCCGCAAAAAATTTTTATATAATAGCTCGGTCGGTAATCGGGCGGCCCCAAAACGGACGGCCGCGGTTCGTATCACGATCATTTACACAGTTATTTTCTTTACTTTTTTTTCTATACCAATCTTTTTCTTTATTTTTTATTTTTTTTTATTTCCAAAATACATGATTTACCAAATAAAAGTCCTTCAGATACTTAATAATTAAAGCGGAAAATCGGAATTCGGCTTCTTTTCGATACAGATTTGTTGATTTCTACGATAGTATAACTAAAGAGCACGCAACAGGTTGTGCTGTTGCAGGAATGGGCAGGCGTGGCTTCACAGAAGATCAGAGTGAAGTGGAAGTACTAAACTTTCGCGTTTCGTCTGGCGATTGAGGTAACGGGGGCCAATTTCTTTCAAGGTTGTCAAAGATGTCCGTCGGTGGGTCTTCACTTAACATCAGTGTGGTGGACAATAAAGCATTCATTCATTCATTCATCAGATGAACCCCGTTCTCTTCTCACTTGAGAACTGTAATGTGTCAATTACTTGTTTTCAGTAAACTTAACACATATTATGAGCTTAATGGATTATCTAAATAATCCTTTCCACCGACCGTGGCAACAAATAACCAAACATATTACGACTAAACAGTATCAATAGAAATTAACTACCGAACCTTTCCACGTTCCTAAAAGTCATGATAAATCTTACTTAAGCGAAACCAGTATAAATGCAAAACAGTGTTAAAAAGCGACGTAAAATCGAAATTAAAATATCAGCAATTATCAATACAAAACCTTTAATCGAACCGATCAATCAAGAAAAATAAAAAAACGAACAATCGATTAATCAGTATAAAAAGTTCTTCATCGACCGAATAATCGAACCAATTAACCAAGATGAGTAAAATAAAAACGAACAATCGATTAATCATTATAAAAAAGTTCTCTTTTAACCAAAAACCACAAAAATCTCAAGGCGATCGATCAACCGACACCGATATTAAAACAAGCGGGAAGAATCGAAATCGATGCAAAGAACGCTCCAATGAAATCGTCCGAACGGAGCGCGTTCCGCCGTCGCGTCAGCCCGCGGCCCCCAATTACGACATTAAAATTATTATTTTATCCCCCTTTTTTATTTATTATTCGCATTATTATATTGTGTGGAGTTATTATCGGGGAAATGTTTCGTTCGGATAAACGCTCCGGTCGGAGCGACACGCAAGCCTCCTTCGAGGCTTGGGGGCCCGCGGGATAAAAGACGAACCGTCGTCTGCTGAACGACCTTTAAAAAAACCTCCTTATTTATTGATTTTTTTTCTTGGGATCATCATTATTTAAACTGAAGTAACAGTAAAGTAACCTATACAAGTCAGTCTTTTCAAGCAAAGGACTCTTAGAGTACAAATGGTATTAGTGCATAGTCCCCATTGCGGATATCTCGGACTTCACATATCTTTAAATATTTCATTTTGTAATTATTGAAACAAAATGCAGGTTCGCAATGTTTTCCTTCACTGCTGAGCTCGTGATAATTCAGCACTTCAAATTTGAACCCGGGATTTGAACTCGGGCTGCATTTTTTTGGAATTAAAAGCAAGCGACCGGAAGCGACTGAGCTATCACGGTTCTCGTCTTCAGTACGCATATCATATTTAAGACCAGACCAACGGCTATCGTCCCTCAACTGTTTTTCGGAGCGGTTTCAACTTACGATCGGCGCGGCGTACAGAACCCGACCGTGTTATATTCGGCCGCCCAGTTAATTCCCGATCCAACTTTCTCATGGTCTCGTGTTGCTACCGGAATCCGTTGCGTTCGTGTTTTATCATCTCACGCTTCGATATTGATTAAACCACAACGCGACGATTTATTAACCCTCTCGATGATACGAAGTCGACTCCGAATCGAGCGTACAATTTTGTGTGGCACATGTGACCCCAACATGTACGTACAATCTTATAATAACGTCATACTTAGAATAACGTTAACCCGACCCACGCTAATGCTATGGCAAACAAAATCGGTGCCTCCGCCGCATTGTTGGAATCTCACGCGTGATTTTATAATATAATATTAACTGTAACTATTTAGTGGGCGATGGGAAGGTGGCGGCTATAATCGACGTGTCAATAAGCCTG